CTTCATTTAACACATTTGCTCATGCAGTTTGCAGAATAGCACTCTTGGATTCATTCTTTCTGACAGTAGGGGCATCTCTGGTCTCATTCTATATGGGACCAGCAAGTCGTCTTTTGACCTCCGGTGTCACTTAGGCGTCAACTTGCTCGATGTAGGTTTACTATTCTTGGCAGCCCTCTTCAATTAGGCAAAATATATCTATCCCTTCCACGATTTCCTCTTCATTAATTTCTAGATAGCATACTTGGCATTTGATTTCTCAAGTCAATTTGACCCCCTCATTTGTGGTTTTTAACTTGTAAATCTTTAGAATCCGCAGAACTTTGTGTTACCTTTGAATGCTCTTGTTCATTGACTGATCCCATCATATCTTGAATTTTCTTAGGTAGCAGTGAGTTTCTGTTGATATATCGTCGAATGGAGTTATGATACTTTAATTTAATGTATTGAACAATAAAACAAGAGGTCCACGGCCATATAAACAGTGATTATACAACTTGTGAAAATTCTATTTTGGTCTATTCTCATAAATCGATCTAACATCATTTCTAATCATATATTTCTTGAAGTCCACAACTTTCATCTTCTTTTAACCACACATTCCTCGAGAGCCGCCGTTTATAAGCACTTAAATTAAAGCTTAGCCAAGCAAAGAATAGAAAGGTATCATATTAATTTGTAATGAGTAATAATGGTACAATCTTTAATGTAATAACATACACATGCACACCTCCTAGACTAACCCATATTGAACTTGATTTCCACTTTTGTGTGTAACAAAAAACTATGCATTATTTCTCAATAAATCTTAATTCGACTATGCAATTCCTTTTCACAAAAGCAGCCTAAAAATGCCTTCTGTACCATCTAGCAAAATATTTCCAAGACCGTTCAGAGAAAAAGAAGGTTTAACACCTTTCATCTCCATCCCAATTGTCCTTCTCCTTTGGTCCCGTTGGCCCCTCCTCGCCATAAAGTTCGGTCGGGAAAATTTCGATGAGATTTTCCACCGAAAACCTAATGAAAAACGGAAGGTGTTTGAGTAACTTCTCCAGTTCAGATCGTGAATTGTAAACAATCGTCGGACCCCATTCCCTCATATACTGTAACCAATGTGGTTCTGTAAAGTTTCCGTCTCTAAGGTACTCAGCTGCGATAATTTGGTACTTGATGCTAGAGTCCACGGCGTACTTGCTCTTAGCACAATCATTCCTGACCCCGATTCCAAGTTTCGTAGAACCCTGAATATAGCACCCAGGATGTGGGAAACTTGCATGGCCACTTTTCGATGAATATACAATCGACTTATTTCCCTCAATGAACTCCAACTCACTTGCATCGAGCCATTCACCACCACTGTGTTCTGAAAAATACATGCTCCAAAGTTCTCCGGTGAAGTTGCTCAAGCGGAGAGTAAAATGCTCCCAATCGCCAACATGTTGGCCTAATCTGTTAAAAGAATAATTTAGCATCCCCGCTTTAATTGTAGCTGGACCATTGAATGGGCAGAAGATCCACATGGCAACGTCGGTGAAAGTTCCCCCTGAAGCAGGTTTTATGTGAACGTACAACTCTGTGCTTTCAATGTTACCACACTTGAGATAATCACTATTTTCGTCATCGTCTGGTAAATCAAGCCAGAATTTTCCATCATTCCACCCGCCGCCAGGCAAATTTGAGCCTTTAGAGTCGATGTTTAAACCTTTATCTCTTCCCCGTTTGTACAGAAGTGCTCCGTTTTCGAAGAACCATGAAACAGACGAGGGCAAGTAAACTTCGTCTGGATGGAAAAAA